ATTAAAGTGTAGAGAACTCGAACGTCTTCATCTTCAGATTGGAGCCGATTAAAACTGAGGCCACAGCTGATCGAATATGAGTTGACTAAAAATTAATTTCTGTAACCAACATTAACGGAGGCTGGGAGGGGGGGGTGACTTTCCCTTATTTTCACTGCATTCTCAGTAGATATGAGTCATGTGGAGCTGTCCTTCATGTAAACGAGATGAGCAGTTTGAACCCACCTGTGTCATGCTGCACTTTGTATTCTTTCTGGCTCAAACATCTTAAAAGACGAGCAGCTCCTGTATCTGTAATTTACAATAAGTACACCAAGTTGTGCACCGTGAAGAGGTTAAACAGCTGCATGTGGTTGTTGTCCTCGTGCGACCCGTGTCGTCTTGACATCTTGTCTGGATGAGTTTAAACCTAAAAATACGCTTCTGCTCTGAGCAAACGAAGAGAAAATCTTTAGAATCTTTCGATGAGAAGAAAATTGGAGAAAATCATTTTAAATGGGGATAAAAAAAGAGAATGAGGGTAATATTTTATAATGTTCTCTGTAATGAGGAAAGCTCTTTTGTCTCTCTCCTTGAAAGCCTTAAATGACGTTACTGTAAAATACATGACAGCTGTGTCCCCTGGCAACTCACTCCATGTCACAGCTGGTAATAAATGGAGTCCGGGCCTTTTTCATTCATTCTCTATTTGATGAGTCATCATTGTCAACCTCCAGCTTCAACATAAATAAGCACAGACTTCTCTGCAAATAACAGTTTAATATAAAAATGACAGCAACATAAAGGCTTATAAAATGGTGTTTTCATGAACTATCATGATTTTTTTCATGTGTTGTTTGAAGATGACAGAAATCCTCTTTGGTCTTAGCTGCGTTCAGACTAGACTACAGGAGTTACGTTCTCATCTGAGAGAACTTCAGTCTGATAGTCCAAACTAATACAGCTCTGAGTGATTTCTACTGCAGGTAAGATGCTTATTACTGATAGAGATTCAGAACGATCAAAATGTCTGAACTGGACTTTGCAGCGCAACTTTTAAAGTGTCTGTGATGTGCATATCCTCTAATCAATCATATCATAAAACCATGTGTATTAAGCCAAATTAAAATTGTTTTCTTAAACTTTTTGTATAATTTTAACCTTTTTGTCACATAAGTGGCAGATTTTCTTTTGACTTTGGTTTGACCAAAGTGAAACAGGAAGTGACATCAAAGGGGAACTCTCTGATCTTTGTTTATTGAATTTTTTTATTAAATATTATATTTATATTATATGTATTAAATATTTTCTGAGCTCTGACTCTTCTTTGTCTCTCTGATGGTGACTCAAATTAATCTAAAGAAACATCAGATTTTCCTCTACTGTCTGTGTTAGCCACATATCTCTGACATCACTTCCTGTTACTGTGCATGATAATATCTCAATAACTATTCATATCAGTTTTTTTTACATTACAATAGAATGTTATCTTTCCAATAAGTATTCATATTTATTAAGAAATTTGATGTCACCAGCACTTTAAAACAACAATGTCTTCATTCAAACACTTATTAGTTTCATTTGTTTATGTTTGTTTCAAAACAATCATGCATTTTTATTAATCTTTCAAAGTGGTCAGGATGAGAACTCAGAATATCTGAAAGGTATTCATTCATTTTATTTATTAATTTATTTGGTTTTGGATTTTTCACCTATTTTCTGTTCAGTCCTGTGACAGTAACGTTTTATCTGCTTATCAAACCTTTAAACTCAGACATATGATTCAATTTAAAGTGTTGACACACTTAATGAACTACTTTGAAAAATAATCTTTAGGCTCTTTGCTACCAGCCTTTTGTCACAATTTCTTCACATTTTTTGGTTTAATAAATGTACAAAATAACAACAATAACATAATCTGGCACATAAAATGTTACCTTAGCAAGCTGCGGATGGTATTTTGTTTCTTCTTTTGTCCTCGTCTCGTTCGCTCACCTCACACAGCGCTCATTATGTCATGGTCAAGGACTGGACAGAAAATGAGTGGAAAAAGCAGCAAAAGTCCAAACACAACATTCGAAGAACCTCCACAAAACAATCAATTAACCAAAAGCACAATCAAAGGTTGACAGGAGGTCTGGTTTCTTGGAATGAAAGAAATTAATTTTAAAAATGCACTCTTCTGCATTTATATGTATTTATTTGATCTAAATTAGCTTTTTATTTTCTCTGATCAGGTGTTTCTGTGGAGAAACAAACCTCAAACAATCAAGTCTCTTGAAGAGAGGAACTTCAATCCTCCTCTCAGCATGCCGGTGAGGAGTCGTTGCTGTTGGTCCAATCCACCCAGCATCAATTTGTCTTTTGACACATTTCATGTCTGATCTGTTGGTTTCTCTCAGATCAGCTGCTTTGCTGCCAGCCCGTCACGTTCTGCTGCTGATGGTGATATTGTGGCCCTCCCTCTGGTTGGACGGTTCACACGGGGGGTGAATCAGGGTCCAGAGTCTGTTCCAGGGCTCGGGCATCTACCTTTTCCTCGACACAGATCTGAGCCTGTTGTAGATTTGAAGCTTTTTGTCTCAGAGAGCTACGAGCAGACGTGGATCGGGCCCTGCGTCATCCCTGCTGGACAAAGGGTCTTTGTTGAGGTCTCTGTTTGAGTTTTTTATACTCTTGTGTTTAGGTTTGGTTTCTAAACTTATATATTATATATGCTTTTTTTTTCTGATCTGCAGATTTCAGCCAAAGCGTCCTTCGTGGATGGTGTGCAAGTAAGGTCATGTTTTGTCTCTCCGCTGTCTGACCCTAAGAAATCTCCTTTCTGGACCGTGATAAGCAATGGATGTTCCTCCAACCCCTCGCTGACCTTCGATGCAAAAACAAAGAGCAAGGAGGAGGACAAGGATGAAGACGAGGGTGAAGATGAAGAGGAAACTGCTGAAACTGATGGATGGGAGAAGGGCAGAAATCATCCTAAAGAAATAAAAAGCATAAGGATGGACAACGATACCCAAAGAGTTGCAGAAGAGGAGATCCGATTCCTCAGATTTAGTTTTATCCTTCGTCCAGTTTTTAAGGAGCCCATGCAGTTCCTCCACGTCAGCCTCCAGCTGTGCCTCTCCAACTCAACAAGAGGGCCGCCCATGAAGGAAGCAGTGAAGGAAGACTGCCAGACTGAGACACAGATCCCTGCACTCATAACTAGATCCTCGAGACAACAGGTAACAGTAAAACAATGAAAACATGTTAGATCAGCGATCAAACAGGAAAACTTGATATGACAATGAAAAACCCTAACTTGAATTTTTCAGATGTGGAAAGGTTATGAACAATCAATATCTTACCTGTTATAGATCATCCTTTGGGTGGCCTCATTTTCACTTGATTGAGGAGTTAATGGCTAGTTCAAGTGGGACCAAGCCCAAAGTTAATTGCTGCCTTCCTAAAACAGCCTCAAAGTCCCAAATTTCATAGTGATTTATTAAAAGCTATTTTGTAAATGTTTCTGTTATATACGTATATGTAGTTAAAAGATGGCCGTGTTTGTGTGTTTATCTTGCCTGTCTCAGCAGACTTTAGTTATATGTTTTTTTTATATCTATTGCCAACTCTTGGCTAGTGTATAATCACCAAATGCTTTTTTACTCTTCTACACTGTTTTGATCATTTGGGACAATTTGTGCAAGAAAGTCAGAAACATTTTTGCTTTCCATTTCTGTCCGATGTTCTGGCTCACCTGTGCCACCCCCCAGCACCATCTGTGGCTGCACCAGCTGGCTGATGAGAGTGAAAGCTCATTTGGTGTGCTCGCTGACCGCTCTTCCTGAAGGTTTTGGAAAAAGCATATAATCGCTTCATTTTGTGGCGCTTTCTGGATCCTATAAACTTCTCTCTGGTTTCTATGGTCCGCCTGGACGAGTGGCAACCAACCCGTCGCCTCTCCTTTCCCCACCTGTGCAGGTGCAGGACGAATCATCACAACCTGCAGCAGCTGGATCGGGCCCCTCGGGCAGATTACACCCTGGCTCCCTCTCATGATCATGTGCTCGCTCTGGTTGATGTTGGATCGCTAGCCAACAGGAACTTTGTTCTAAAGGATTTCTTCACCTCAAGCGGCCTGGATTTTCTGTTCATACTTGAAACATGGATGACCTATGGCGAGTCCATCCAGTGCTTTTTGTGAACTTCTGCCACTGACCTGTTCTTTCTTCAGCCCTCTGAGGACAAGTCGTGGAGGAGGAATAGTGACTGTTTACAGGTAGAGTTACATCTCTGTAAACAGATCACACGATTGCAAGAATTAGAGCCCTCATAATCCCTCCTTCCTATGACTCATCCATTTCGGTCACATGCTGCTGTTTTCAGTCAGTTTGAACCCGTCACCCTGCCTTTTTTTAAAAACCACTGGTCACATGAAGCCTGCTCCAAACGATCCAATTCTACTGTCTTTTTAAAGATCCAACAATTTTTAGTAAGGTCATCTGGACAGGTTTTTTTTTTTTTCTTTCTATTTTTTTGTGCTGAAGCGTTTCAACTTCCATCCAGAAGGCTTCATCAACAGCACACATTCACATTGATGAAGACTTCTGGATGGAAGTTGAAACGTTTCAGCACAAAAAAAACAAACCTGTCCAGATGACCTGTCTATAAATTGTTGGATTGTATACCTGGATTATTGAACATGGACTTTGTTGTTTTGAACCAGTTTGACATGACTGTCGACGAGGGAGAGGGCTGGCACCGGAGTAGGGGACGTGCCAAAGAGACCATCTTAGCACCAACAAAACTGGTTTGTTGCACTTTGGAGTAAGCTGTTGGGGGAAGAATCAGTTTTGTGTTGTGTGTTTCCTTGACTGATGAAACCTTCTGGATGGAAGGTGAAATGTTTTAGAAAAAAAAACTGTCCAGATGACCTGACTGAAAAATGTTGGATTGTATACCTGGATTATTGAGCATGGACTTTGTTGTTTTCAACCAGTTTGACTCCTGGAACAATTTGTCTCAGTGAAGGTGTTAAAAGCAGAACTAACAGAGAACCTTGTCCTGTTTTCCATCTCAGTGTGGGATCAGAAACCTCTCTAGACCCATGGTGGTCACCCAACCCATTGGTCCACTGGCACCCAAAGTGCCGCCCCCTAATGGCCAAAGAACCAACAGGCTCAGTGTGGCTCCAGTGGCGGATCCAGACCCAGAGACCAGCAGTGAGCATTTGTTATTACTTTATTATTAGTAGTACTAGCTCCACCACAAGTTCATCTCCCACTCTGTCTGTAGGTCTCGGTGTGCAGACTGGGCCACTGATGGGAATCGTCTTTGCAGCGTTTGTGATTGGAGTCAGTCTGATGGGAGGGCTGTGGTGCATCTATAACTTTACAGGTAATAATCTCCTAAATATTCTGCACCAGCTTCTACAACAGTTAGATTGGATGAATACAGCACATAATAAGATTATTTAAACAGCAGAATAAAGCTGGCCAACATAATCTCAAAACACAACATACCAGTTTTAAATAAGAACAAAGATCCACAAGTAACATAGACTGGCTCCTAATTATAGTGTAAAGACTGGAACACTTCAGAGGCAATTTAATTGAGTGTATGCATTTAAGTTTTAATACCATCAATAGGATAATCATAAATGCTGTGTTC